CCAAAGTTGAAGAATAGTGGTCTGTGCTGACTGGCAACACCTCTCCAGGGTTTCATAGAATCATAGGATGGTATAGTTGGAAAGGACCACAGGGGTTATCTAGTCCAACATAGCCAGTCAGATTATGGGAGTTGGAGTGCAGAGAACATCATGGGTTGGTCTCTTCCCACTCCCTTGGGGAATTATGGGGGTTATGCATGATGCGTGTGGGTGTGTGTTTATTACATTTTATATCTCACATACCCCACCTCAAAGGAGCTCAAGCTGGTGTACATGGTTTTCCCCTCCTCAATTTATCCTCACAACAACCCTGTGAGGCTACCTTTGAAGATGACCCAGAAACTACAAATAACCCAGAATACGGCAGCTAGACTGGTGACTGGGAGTGGCCGTTGGGACCACATAACACTGGTCCTAAAGGATCTTCATTGGCTCCCAGTGCATTTCCGAGCACAATTCAAAGTGTTGGTGCTGACCTTTAAAGCCCTAAACGGCCTTGGCCCAGTATACCTGAAGGAGCATATCCACCCCCATCGTTCAACCCAGACACTGAGGTCCTCCTCCAAGGGCCTTCTTCTGGTTCCCTCACCGCAAAAGAGATGTTACAGGGAACCAGGCAGAGGGCCTTCTCGGTGGTGGCACCCACCCTGTGGAACGCCCTCCCTTCAGATGTCAAGGAAATAAATAACTATCTGACTTTACAAGACATCTGAAGGCAGTCCCGTATCAGGAATTTTAAATGTTTGATGTTTTATTATGTTCTGATATACAGTATGCTGTGAGCCCCCCAAATTATAAAATGGTGATGGTGATGGTGATGATGTAGGTTAGATTGAGAGATAGTGACTAGTCCAATGTCACCCAGTGAGCTTTATGGCTGAGTGGTCTCCCAGGTCATAGTCCAACACTCTGTTACACCACAAAGGTGTAACACGCATGATAGTATGTTCATATAATGGGGAGCTGCAATTTTATAGTTTTCCTGTTTTACAAGGACACTATCAGTACTAGCAGTATACAAATATGTATTCACAAAATTCTGTAACATGCTGAAGCCCCTTTTAAGTTTGCCTTTCCCAAAGCTAATTCATATTATGAATTCACATTATGAAGGATTTGATCAGGGTTCTGCACATCATAAAAATGCATGCTCAACTCCACATGGACCATCCATCCACCCAAATCCTAGCCCTTTAGCTCTGACCAAGACTTATTTTCAACCAGGGCTCACTCAAAGGCTTTGGCCAAAGCCAGGTCTGCCCTTGAAAGTCACAAGGGCAGGAAGCAATAACCACAGCCATCTCCTATTGCTCATCCCAAAGACTGGGTGCCTCTCCACATATGGAGATGGCATCAACCTCAGAGCCAATAAAACCACTGACAGACCTGTTGTCATATTCATATATTTTTTATATGATTAATTTATATATGATTATATGTGATTAATTATATATGAAATTAATTTTATAATGAATGATTTTAGAGTGTTGTTTATGCTGTACTTTTGTACTGTTTTATTGTTGTTAGCCGCCCTGAGCCCGGCTTCGGCTGGGGAGGGCGGGATATAAATAAAATTATTATTATTATTATTATTATTATTATTATTATTATTATTATTTGTGTGTGTGTGTGTGTATTCTCATTCTCTCTCTCTCTCTCTCTCTCTCACACACACACACACACACATTGCATTTGTATCCCACCTTTTTCTCCAAGGAGCTTAAAGTGGCACACATGGCTCTCTGCTTCTTCATTTAATCCCCACAACAGGTTAGGCTGAGAGGCAGCAACTGGCCCAAGGTGACCCAGTCAACTTCATGGTCAAGTGGGGATTGGAACCCTGGTCTACCCAGGTCCTAGTCTGACACTCTAACCACTAGACCACACTGGCTCTTTAGAAACAGCAGCCCATGTTAGTGGCCATGGTCCCTTCTTATGCTAATGGATCCCCACTTAACACAGCTGATTACATGGGCACCCCTTTAAACAGGGAGTTAAAGGGGAATGAAGGAGAACCAAACCATGTTTACCTCTTAATATTTAGAATTTCAAAACAGCAGACATATTTCTTCTTTTTTAAAAAAAAACCATACAAAGAATAAGAACAAATAAAATTCATCAAAGCAACAGAAATAAACTGTGTTGAGATATTTTAAATATATGTGCATCATTTTGTGCATGGACATTATTTGTATATTCATTTCAGGTATTTATAGACTGCATAAAATTTGGAATGTCTAAGGGGTGTACACAAAACGGCTTTTAAAAAACCTATATAAAGAATACGAACAAAATTCATAGCAGAAACAGAAATAATCTGCGTTGGGAGATTTAAATTTTTTAACTTCAATAATTTTGGGTATGGGCATATTTTGGAGAGTATTAATCACCGCTCCTGAATGATGAAGAAAAACAACGTAAATCTGAGGCTGAGCCTCATAGCAGTCAGGCTGAGTGAGGGGAGGGAGGCCGGTCGCTTTGTGCTGGGATTTAGCGAAGGTCGGCGATTTTCGCACCTAGGTGAGCTGTCATCTGGCTCTGGGCAATTCGCTTTCTCCTCTCGCATCTGTGCTGGACCAGCGGGGAACCTCGCTGGCGTGAAAGGGAGGAAAGCCTGCGGGAAGCGAGAAAGGCCTGACTCACTCACTCACACCACGCAGCGCAGCGCAGCGGCCTGTCGTCTGCTGTCCATTCATTCATTCGCTCATTCATTCAGAATCGCAGAGAACACTTCTGACTCTCCCACCTGTTGCTTCTGAAGGACGAGTCTGGGCTCCCTCCCGAGCCATCCTAAGATTACCTGGGAGCAAAAATACCCATTGCTTAATTAGTATAAAACGATCGATTATTATTATTATTGCATTGCAACAGTTTTCTTGAATGGTGTTGAGGCAGACAAATAAAAAATTGAATTTCTCTGAATTTACTCTTCGAAGGTGGCATGCCTCTGAATGCCAGTTGCTGGGGAATCACCAGCGGGGAGACACTTCTTGAACCCAACTCCTGCTTACGGGCTTCCCACGGGCATCTGGGGGGCTAGATGGGCCACTGGCACGGGCGTAGCCAAGGGGGGGGCAGGGGGGCAGCTGCTCCCCGCCATCAAGTAAAACAATAGAAATATTCAACTAACTGACCAATCACGTCAGTTCTGCCCCCCAGTCCTGGCTATGCCCATGGCCACTGGGCTCGTTTTATGTACTGTACTCACGAAAATGCACGACCAAGGAGGCTCCTCTGAGTTCAGCTGGGCTTACTCGCAGGCCAGGTACAGGTGGCCTCAGGATTGCAGCCTGAGCCTCATTGAGGGCATTGTGGGCGCGGGGGGGGGACGACGTATACACGCCTAGAATTGCTCTAGGTACGCTGCGTGGTAGCCATCCCTTGAAACCTAAACACCTCCCCCCCCCCAGGTGAACATGAAAGAAAGAGCTCATACGCCTCTTGTTTCCAGTGGGACGTTAATGCCCTTTGGAATGAAATCCCATTGATTGTGTAGACGACGCGCGAAATAATTTGTAGAGGTTAGAATGTTCGCGCACTTGGCACTTACAACAGCCCTGTAAGGTAGGCCGGCATTCTGACGTCCACGCGGCTCGCATCCGTTCCAGGCTGAGGCTGGGATGCGCACTGGTGCGGTCCACAGCTCACTCTCTTAACTGTACATCTACTAAATCATTTACCTCTCCAACCCTTGTCTTGTTTCAGAAAGTCCAGGGCGGTAACTTCTACAGAGGGGGAAGGCTCGTGTATTTGTTCATTTATTAAAATCATAATATAATAGGATCACAACACATATATTATCAAGTCACTCCAGAATTAAAACAGTCCGGCTTGCCCACCAGAAACCAAAGGAGGTTCCTCCGGTAATGATGCTGATGGTGTTATTGCGTCGTTTTTCGAATATGCTCGAGCTCCGGTTTTGGCGGATCTTAGAATTTAGAAGCGCGTAAATGGAAATATAGTAATAAAAGAATAGTTTCTCCAAATACACGTTCCTCTTCTTCTCAGCGTCTTGAGCGTCCTTCCTTGGAAGTAAAAACCCTCTGAAATTAACAGGGATCCCCTTCCAAGGAAAACGTCTTTGGGCTGGTGCTGCCAGAATAGCATATATATCTATATTCTATATATACATATAGGCAGAAAAATGACTCCAAGGAGCATATATGTAACCAGAGAACAGCTCCTCCATTGGGCTCTCAGCCTGACACTTGAAGAAGCGTCTGTGTAACCTAAAACGACCAGATACCAAAAGTATCTTTAAGATACCATTCCAATGTATCCGGGTGATCGCTCGAGAATTTGCCTCCTTGCTCTTCCAAGCTGCTTGAGCGCATTTTTGGGTTCTCAGAGTGCAAGTTTAACCCAAAGTCTGGCCTTCCTCCCCCCGTTCCCCGCTCTCGGTTTCCCCCAGTTTAAAAGGTCCCGTTCAGATTCTCGTTTTGTCTCCACTGAGCCCTCTAATACCTTCTCTTTTGTGCGGAGAGTTTCCCTTACTAACTTTTCTCAAGTTCGGTTTTCTCAGTGCTTCCAACCTCTCCTTTCTTGCAACAACTGTTTTGGCCTTTCATGGAGCGTTTTGTTTTGTTTTTTGGTGGTTGTTGTGTGTGTTTTTTGCGCACTCTAAAGCAATGTTACTTGGAAACAGCCGAAGCTTAAATTCCACAGACTTCCACAAAGTATGACATTGTTGGAAGGGAGACGGAGGCAGGCGTCTTGGGCATTCTTCTGCGCCTTTGGGGACTCGGTCGCGCTTGGCGCGCGCTTGGCAACCAGAAAAGGGAACCGCGGCGGAAAGTGCCCTGTTAACTCTTCTTTCAAAGGGTGTGTGTGGAATACACTCTTTTTTATTAAAAGTGGACTTTTTTCTTTTTTTAATACTCTCTGCCCTTCTTCCTCTGCCCAGCTCCGCTTGGAAGTGGCGGGTGATGATCATCTCGGGGTGATCACTTCGCGTTCCGCTCAACTCAGCTGCTGCCTCCAGCACTCGGTGGTGATGTAATAGGTGCAAGCGAGGCACATGGATCTATAAATGCCGTGGCTTGAGGGGGGTCAAGGGGCTGATGGCTGAGCAGCCGGACCAGAGGATCCCCACTCGACAGGAGCCCTCTGGGACGGAGATCAAGTTCAGAAGGAGCTGGGGCTGAGTCGATCTCCCCAACGCCCCCACCTCTCTCTCTCCACCACCACGCTTCTGCCGGGCGCCCCCTCCCTGGGTCTTCGCCCAGCCCCTTCCCAACGTGGCTTGCTCTCCCGTGCAACCTGACCAGAGTGTCTCCAGTTCCTTGGGGGACTGAGCTGCCTGGGCTCCCTCTTTGCCACCCACCCTCTCTCTCTCTCTCTCTCTCTCTCTCTCTCTCTCTCTCTCTCGGGCCCTCCGCCCCCCCCCACCGCTTTCCTCCTGTGATCTCTCCAGTCCGAAGTGGGAAGCTCTCCTCTCTCTCTCTCTCTCTCTCTCTCTCTCTCTCTCTCTCTCTCTCTCTCTCGGCGCGCGGAGAGGGTATATTTTTAGAGCGATCGCCTCCCTGCTCGGCACCACGTGTGCTGCCCATGTTGCTCGGAATGACTGGCCCCTCTTCGGCCTGCTTGCCAGTCTTGCTCCTGGGACTGCTGTCGCCTTGGCTGGCCGGGCGCTGCATGCCCGCCTTCGCCCAGCCCCACCAGCCCCACCAGCAGCCCCAGCACAACGACACCCTGGAGTGGCGCTGGGAGACGCTCTTCTCGCGCTCCATGGCCAGGATCCCCGGGGAAAGGAGGGAGCCCAACCGCGACGGCGACTATCTGCTGGGCATCAAGAGGCTCAGGCGTCTCTATTGCAACGTCGGCATCGGCTTCCACATCCAGGTGCTGCCAGACGGCAGGATCAACGGGATCCACAACGAAAACCGGCACAGTAAGTCGCCACCTGCGCCCACCTGGCCAGAGACTGTGGCACTCACTCTCCACGGGCGTGGGATCTGGTCGCTTTGCAAAGCCCCGCCAGCCCATTTCACAATTGCCTTCTGGGGAGTTTTGACGTTCCTTTAACGACAGGGTTAAATCTCACCACCTCGGAGCTCACCGGGCAGTTTTCTCCTGGGACCCGCTGGAGGGTGTGGGAATAATGATCATCTGATGTCATCGGTCCCTTATGCTCCGGTCTGGTCTGGAGCTCATTTCTTGCATGCAGGGAGGTGGACTAGAAGACCCTTGAGGTCTTTCCCACCAGCTCGACAGTTCTGTAATTCTACCTAGAATCGCCCGAGCAAAGGTGCTTAGTCTAGCAATGCAAGGCAAAGGAAGGGAAAGAGCGCAGGGTCTCAGCAAAGCGGGCCTGCGCTGCTTTCGATGCCACCCAGGTGATCAAGTCCCTCAGACCAATAGTATTGACCCAGCCTCCCCAAAAGCAAAAGCAAAGAGATTCGGAAGCCAGCAACTTCGGAGATGCTTCCGTTAAACTGGTGGAACTAAAGGGCGTTTTGTCAGGTTTCTATGGTTAGAAAACACTTCTGCAGACGGGGGAGAAATATGTCAGGTGTGGCGATTTTACTGTGTGTTGCTTCATCGCATTGCGCATGTATGCAGCAAAACGCATGCATGTGAAGATGATCGCCCCTGTTGATTTGCCATTTTCATGCTGTTTCCCTTATAAATAAGTTTATTCCTTGGGCATTTTGTGCGTTTGGTCCAAGGGGAATTGCAATGTGTGAAGAGTCTCTTAATGGGATCTGTTAGGCATTTCTACCTTCATACTCAATTTTGAAGGGGGGAAAATAGTCATATATGGCAGAAGAGTATGATCAAATTATTCCATTTTTAAAGCCATTAGTCCTCATGAATGCGTAGGGAAAGTGTTTAAAATACCTAATGCAAAGTGCCAGCTTGGGAACTATTCATTTTATGTTCTGTATAACAGCCTTCTCCAACGCGATGCCATTCAGATGTTTTGGGCTACAACTGCCATCAGCCCCAGCCAGCACAGAGTTTGGGGCGGGGGGGGGAACAGGTTGGGGGTGACTGCTCTATAATTTAGGCAGCTATATATTCTGTGGCTGGCTGAGTTACTCTTGCTCTAGAGTGGGATACGTGAGGACGGCAATCTAAAATGTAAAAAAAAAAAAAGCATTCCTAAATTCTGGATTTGTAAGCTTGGTTGCATTAGGTATTTCAAATGGAATTCAGTCTTAGAAAATAAGCCACTTTGCTCGTCCCCAGCTCTGAGTTCAGGAACTGGTTACACAGAAATAAAAAGTTGCGCCACTCCCACTGTGAACAGAATAAACTGTCTTGAAGCAATTGTTGCATGGGCTCCTAGAAATACTACTACTGATCAAAAGGAATCAGGTGTTTTTCACTGTCCCAGCGGGAAGCCTCCTGGTTTGCAGTGAGACCCTGCTCAAATAGCGCACCCCCCCTTCCTTTTGCAAGAGGGTTGCAAATAGTTAATTTGGGATTCCAGATCCCACAGAAGCTCTGCCAAGAAGTTAGGGCAGTCCACTAGGAAAAGCATCTGTTAGTGACTTAACCTCATGGCCCTGTGGCTCTAATTCTAACTACGGTCCAACTGAAACAATAGGACTGGGGAGGAAGGGTTAGAGACAGAAGCATGACAAATGTTTCACATGTCCTGAAACATATTGTTACTTATTTTAACCTGGACGATGTGGGGGATCACTGCCAACCATTAAAACATGCGCGCGCGCACACACACACACACACACACACACACACACAAACTCTTTAACTATATCCGGGTGCTTTTGTTGTGCTCTGCAGTCACTTAATGAATGGAAGGAGTTTAAAGGAGTTATGTTCACTTAAGGAATGGAATTCCATAGGACTCCTATACACACTTACCTGGGAGCAAATCCATTCATCTCAATGGGACTGACTTCTGAGCCTGCATGTATAGAGTTGCCAATGTAGATAATTAGGCAGCAAACCTCATCAGGGTCAATCTACACACATGACAACTGCCACAGAGAACCACTTCAAACCAGTCCATGTGCAATGTTTAGCACATGGAAAGTCATTCAGTGTGGCCAACCAGAAGGAGTAGTTTGACCATGTCAACACAGTTCGTTCCTTTTCAGATATCTGATCATGGGGAAAATAATAATGGGTGGTGCATGCAGGAGTAGATGTATACGGGGAGAGGAAGTCTAAATTGTGCCCCTCAGTAGAGACTGGCCCTAGCCTGCTGAAGCATAGTGCCTTGATAAGTGTGTGTGTGTTCAAGGCTGCAGAATGAAGCTTGGCACCCAGAGCGTGATTCCCATTGTCCAGTATTATTGTGTCATTAGCTTGCATCCTTGCTAGATGCTGCCAGCTTCTAGGAGCTGAGCCTGTATCATGTAACGGTCCTTTGCTTGCATCACCACAAATTTACCAGTAATTTTAATGTAAGTTACTTTGGCTCACTCAGTGAGAAAAGCAATTTCTTCTTCTTATTAGAAGATTGATCAATAAATAGATAGATAGATTACATATAGGCAGTGCTTTTTTCTGAGGGGTACCCAACAGTTTGTAGTACCAGCACTTTTTTAATGGCTATGTTAAAAGTTTGGAACTTACTGTAACACCTTCATGGTGAATACCAGCACCGTTTTTCTAGAAAAAAGCACTGGATATATTATTATTTATTATTATTATTTATTAAATTTGTATACAGACCTAGATGGGATGCGGGTGGCGCTATGGGTTAAACCACAGAGCCTAGGACTTGCTGATCAGAAAGTCGGCGGTTCGAATCCCCGCAATGGGGTGAGCTCCTATTGCTCAGTCCCTGCTCCTGTCCACCTAGCAGTTCGAAAGCAAGTAGATAAATAGGTACCGCTCCGGCGGGAAGATAAACGGTGTTTCTGTGCACTGCTCTGGTTCACCGGAAGCGTCTTAGTCCTGCTGGCCACATGACATGGAAGCTGTACATCGGCTCCCTCGGCCAATAAAGCAAGATGAGCGCCACAACCCCAGAGTCGGTCACAACTGGACCTAATGGTCAGGGGTCCCTTTACCTTTATACAGTCCTATACCTGTAGATCTTAGGGCATTCACAACATGAAACCACAATATAAAAAAAACGGAAAATGCATAATAAAAACAAAAACAAAGACAACACAATAATTCCCCCTTCCACAACATATTTTAAAAGGGTATATACAGTAGACATAGAATTATTAACAGTAGGATGTCCCTCCAACCTCCATTATCACACACTGACAGACACCAAGTTGTACATTCGCATGTTCCACCACACACACAACCACAGGAGAAAATCGCATCAACCTTGCTCTATACAGCTTACCACATAAGAGTCACCACGAAGTGGGGCAACTGAAAGTATATTCAACAAAGTGGCAGTAACATATAGAGCAAGCCTACATCTACCCATTAGATTGCCTTAAAGAAACCAAGCCTTTGGATCACAACTTATTAATTCTAGAGTATCCCAAAGAGATCAAAGGAATTGCTCTGAAGCTGAGCACCTTGGAGACTGCTGCCCAAAGTCACCTGTTCACAAAACATAGGATGTGCTTAGGAGTGGACTATTCCCAAACACTTACTTCTGAGTAGCCCCATTGATGACATCAGAAAATGGATTCAGAATTGTATCATTGCTGCTAAATCAGTATAGCATCCTCTTATCCTTTCCCAGAGGGACATCTATGTTAGTCTCTTGGAGCAAAAACAACAGAGACTGGTGGCATCCTAAAGACTAATATATTTATGATGGCATAAGCTTTCATGGACTATGGTCTATTTCATCAGATGTATGAAATGTTATTCTCAGCTGCTGGTATTTGTGATTTAAGAGAACAGCAATGGCTTACACTCAGATATATCTCTTAGCTGGCTCCCTATGCATTTTCCCCCTTCTTACAGGTTTGCTTGAAATCTCTCCTGTGGAAAGAGGAGTGGTGAGCCTCTTTGGTGTTAAAAGTGGACTCTTTGTAGCCATGAACAATAAAGGCAAACTCTATGGAGCTGTAAGTAGTCACGAACGTGCTCTTTAACCTATGTGTCTCTAACCCCCTTTTTAAAGTGTTGATTTGTTTTGATGTATAATGGAGTGCTCCTGAGTCTTGACCCTCTCAAAATATATTAATATGGAAACCAATGAGAGATACCCAGCTAAGTAATGCTCAGGGCAGAGTAGTCTATTGTTTTTAGTGGTTCTGCTCTAAGCAATACTAACATCGAATATCAAAAAATGATTCCACTCCCCTTTTATTTGATGAATAACACTTTAAACTGCAGGAAAATCAGCATAGAAATATTTGAACCAATGCATATTTTAATAGTCAGGTTAGGTTACTGAGCAAGTCCCAGTGGCAGCTGTTCAGTTATCTTGGAGGTGGTCTATGGTAGAGAACTTGAAGTGCTTGGGTACCTCCCTTGCCACTGGAATCTTAATGTGCAAGCTTAATGTGCAAAAAAAATACAAGCACCTGGTTATCTTGTTTGGCAAGTTAAAGGGCAATACGAAAAGCTTCAATCTGATAATATAAGGATTTACACATATTTGTTTTTACGAGGCGATAAAAAATAAATTCCAAACTGTGTTCCAGGGACACATTTGCGTGGTGCTATTGCACAAATATATTTAAATAAAATAAAATAAGGATGCAACCCTACATACAGTATGCTTATCTGGGAGCAGTGCAGGTCCGAGAGTCTGCCACAGGGACAAAGTAGCAGCACAGTGGTACCTCAGGTTAAGTACTTAATTCGTTCCAGAGGTCCATACTTAACCTGAAACTGTACTTAACCTGAAGCACCACTTTAGCTAATGGGGCCTCCTGCTGCTGCCACGCCGCTGGAGCACGATTTCTGTTCTCATCCTGAAGCAAAGTTCTTAATCTGAAGCACTATTTCTGGGTTAGCAGAGTCTGTAACCTGAAGTGTATGTAACCTGAAGCGTATGTAACCTGAGGTACCACTGTAAAGAGAGGGGGCTGTGCTTACTGTGTCTTGACATCATCTGATGCTCTGGCCTCCCCCCTTTTCAATTAGCCTCTGTTGGAGGCTGCATTGAGTATGACTGCACCAGTCATTCTGATGCAGAGGTCCAGTAGAATTATCTGCCCTCTGAGAAAGCCTGTGCAGGGCAGTGACATGTTATTGGACACCAGTTCCGAGGAGAGCCACAAGCTCCCCAAAGCTACTTGATTTAGAGCATCCAAAACATCACAAAATGGTGAGCAAGCTTTTGAGTTCTCCGGAGTTTTTCTTCAACCTGGGTGTTAAGTAAAATGAGCTCAGGGAAGGAAACATGGGAGAAAGAGCTGGATATGATGTTGGAGTCCCAAAGCCTGCCACTTTTACTAGTCTTAAGGTGGAGTGCCAGAAGATTTTGGGATGGGGAACTTGTTGGACTCTGAACTCCCATCAGCCCCAGCCAGCATGGCAAATGGTCAAGGGTGATGGGAGTTGGAATTCAACAACATCAAGAGGGCCACGGGCTTCCCATCCCTGCTTTAGATAGTCTCAAGGAGCTCCCAGGTCGAAGTTGGTTGTGGAATTGGTGCTGCTCATCCACACCGGTATTTGCAAGGTCTGCTGAACATTGTCATCATCAAATTGCTGGCATTTTAATCTGCATTCCCCCTTACTTCAGAAAATCCAACATGGAAAAACAACACTCTCTCCCCCCCCCCCCGATAGGTATATTGTCACATGTGTAGTGATGTTTCTGTGGCCTCTAATGCTACGTTCTTACTTCCATTTCTTCCTCATTGAGGAAGCCATTTTGTTTTCAGTGGCCCAAAGGATAGGACCATGCCAGCAATTGCTGGATGCTGAATTCACATTTCAACAAGAGCTGCTCTCTCAAGATCTCCATCCAAGACATTACCTTGCAGTTGGTAATGTAGCACATACATCATGCTATAATGATAATAATATTGATTGCAATGATATTAATAATAATTCTTCAGAATGCTTGAGCAGTCAACATTATTCAAGCAAGCAAGCAAACAAACAAACAAACAAACAAACAAACAACCAATGGGAAATGGATATTCTACCACCATCCCTTGACAGCACAAGCCTTCAATTTGTCTATCATCACACATGATAAATAAGTCAGGAAACATTTGCTCTTGTGCACTAAGTGGCAATTTTTGGTGCATATTCACAGGTACAGAAATACCTGTGTGCATGCCCAGTATTGAAGATGGCTATGGATATATTGCATTATGGTCAACCCACTAATTTGGGTGGCAAGCAGTGGAATAGCAATGAAGATCTATGACAGGAAAAATGGGAATGTGTTGAAGCTAACCAAACACACACAGAGAACAATTGGATCTGAATGATCCAGTTGTAGTCTGGAAGCAATCCTAATCTGGAAGCACCAAGCACCATTAATTAGCTAAGTCCCGGCAAAGTTCAAAAGAGCTTTCCTCTTGCACAAGGAGCTGCTGAAACTAAGAAGCAAGAAGTGCTGCTTCCTATATTTTGAAAATATAAAATCTAGCAATGGCTCAGAACTATCTCCAGCACAGATTTGGTCCCTTGTAAGGTGAAGTTTGGTTTCCAATTTTAATTTAAAAAGAACATGTATTGGAGTTATCTAAAGCGGGGAAAACACATTGTGCCGCAATCTGATGAGCAATTGCACCATTTGCTTATTGGCCATTGTTTGAAAAAGGGACAAAGCAAATCAGTAAATGATATTCAGACTTCAGATACACAAATATTCATCTGATCTTCTGGAGAAGGATTTAGTTGTCTGTATCTGCATTTTTACCAAAAAAAAAATGTTTTACAAAAAACACACAAACAAACCATACACAATCTTGAGAACAAATAGCCAAAGGCATTTCATTTCTTGAGGCCCACTTGGTTACTAAAAATAAGACAAGTCTTGTTTATGGTCATTTCCAGCTGTCCTTCTCTTGTGGCCTTGCTGTTTGTCTAAGCTCGTGTGAGCAGGGCTTTCAGTCCAATGATTCCGCAACGGGATCACTTTTGTATTGACTTGTCCTAAAGAGAGCTATGGATGCAAAAGGCTCAAGGCTTTCATTGCAAAAGTCTTTAACCTTGGACTTCTTCTCACTTTGGGAGATATAATTGAGTGTGACGCTTCCTTTTGTTTTCTGCGTCTATAGAGATTTGTCACCAATTATCTTTTCCCTTCTGCAGTATTATAACATTTTGTGTGTTTGAGCAAAGGCCGCATCCTTTGCTCTACATCTCAGAAAAAGCCCTTAGAGCAGCTCTGTGGCAGCAGCAGCTCAAAGGCCCTTCTATTCCTTCTAGCAGGGCTCAAAGGCAGGAACCCCTTTCCACTGTTGCTCCCCCAGCAGCTGGTATTCAGTGGGTTACTGATTCCAGAAATTCCTCATAGCCATCATGGCTTGTGACTATTGATAGCCTGGTCTTCCATGAATGTCTCATTCTCCTTCAAAAGCAATCTAAACCAGTGGCCATGATCACCACGTCTTTGTGCTACTGCATGCCATATAAGAACATTTGAGTATAAAATGTCCAAACCACAGTCCACAACACCTTAGTTCCAGTTGGAGAAAGTAGTTTGTGGATTACTGTGGTCCACAAGGGCCTTGAGATGCCACACTTGCATTTACGTAGCATATTGAGCGATGGCATATGTAGTCTTTGGGTTGTAGTATAAAAGTCTACATGGAGAGAAGATGCAGGTCAGTGGAGACTTGGAATAGTGCAAGATCTTTTCTTGCAGTGTCTCTGGGAAAAAGCCAAAGCAGTAGGCTTGTAATGTATCCTCTAGCTGTGATGTTGCTATTTGCAACATTTGCAAAAGTCAAGATCAGCTCAAGATTAGCAAAGTGGAGGGGAGAACTAGTGAACTTAAGGTGAAGGTCTGTGTTCCAGTGACCAGAGATCTTGATTTCCCAGGAGATGAGGCAAAATCAAACAATGGACAAGGCTTAGAATTGTGTACCTGTCAGTAACTCTGTCTAGCTTCCTGTTTTACTGTATCTTCCCATTAGGTTTAGTCATTTTCCTCATCAGTGTGCTGTTCTGAACTTCAACAACTCTTTGCAATTTGCTTGTAGGATTCCCATCAATTTCAGAAAATCTGTTTCTAATAAACCAACAGTTCTGACTTTGACCCTTGGATGGTGATCAGCATTCTATGATGGAGATACATGGGTGTCCCCCCCCTCCCCTCCAGCGCTGGCTATTCCATATATGTTTTTTAACCTGGGAAAACACCATTCTCTTTCACTCCCTACCCGAGATAGTGCATCGATACAATAAAGATTGCACTGTGGAATGTGGTAGTGCAGGTATCATTGGGGCACCTATCAGATTTTGCCTGTGATATGTATGGAGATGAGCCCCACGACTCTTTTCCCTATGCCATTTTGTAACTTTGAAAGCCCTATTTCAGCAAGCCACCAAGCAGCTTTATTTAGGAAGAATGCTGGGAACACGAGCAAAATTCTCCCTGCCCCTCTCCCACCCTTGCCTCATTATACAACCCTTTTAGCTTACTCCTCCGGGGCTGAGAATTCTCCCTCTCTAGTACTAGAGTGCATAGCTCCCCTGATAAAAATCTCCCTTCGAGTCCAATCACCCTTCTTCGAAACAGCCTTAATGTAATGGAAAGATGTCTCCCTCCCACTTCATTTTTAAGGCAGCTGCCTGAGGATTTTCCATGCATGTACAGATCCTAGAGGGTTTACAGTTGCAAGTGTAAGAGGAGACTTTTCCCTGCAGTTGAGTGCATGCACCCACATGCTTCAAGCAGCCAATTCATTTAGTTGTGTGTGTAGCATTCAGCTATGCACTACTCAGAGTAGACCCACTTAAATTAATAAAGGTAAAGGTACCCCTGCCCGTACGGGCTAGTCTTGACAGACTCTAGGGTTGTGCGCCCATCTCACTTAAGAGGCCGGGGGCCAGCGCTGTCCGGAGACACTTCCGGGTCACGTGGCCAGCGTGACATCGCTGTTCTGGCGAGCCAGAGCAGCACACGGAAACGCCGTTTACCTTCCCGCTAGTAAGCGGTCCCTATTTATCTACTTGCACCCGGGGGTGCTTTCGAACTGCTAGGTTGGCAGGCGCTGGGACCGAACGACGGGAGCGCACCCCGCCGCGGGGATTCAAACCGCCGACCTTTCGATCGGCAAGCCCTAGGCGCTGAGGCTTTAACCCACAGTGCCACCCGGGTCCCGTACTTAAATTAATAGACCTAACTTAATCATGTTTCATAATTTAAATACGTAACTCAGAGTAAATCTTAGTTGACTTTGACCCATAGATTGCTGAGATGAGGCTGGAGGTCTGACTGGCCAAACAGTCAGAGAGCAGATTCCGTGGTGGAATAACTGTTGGGGTAGATATCCCTGGAATCATTATTGTGGTGGATTTCTGAGGTGGATACTGAGATCTACCCTCAATGTGGGTCAGAAGATAGCGGAGGCTATTTGCAGTTTGTACCGTGTTGCTGGATGGAGACATGCTACTGGAAAGCATTATGTACTAGCAGCTGAAAGAGCATGCCAATATCCTTAACTGCAGGCGGACTTGATGCTGTGTTTGTGCACCAAGCACAGATGAATCATTTTGTAAACCTGTATGAAGCATACAGGTAGGAATGCAGGCACCTGAGGATATCCAGGTGCTGAGTCCCAGTGGTGGTGGTTTGTGTGAGCAGATATGTAAGAAGCATTTCCAGGGGGAAGGAGAAGGTATACATTGCAGTCACTGGGGTGGGCAGCTTCTGCCAACACTGTATTACCAATGCTAGTGCTTTGTTAAGGCCAAGAGTCCAGAAATAGATCTCCTAGGCCTGGAGTGCCACCGATAAGAAACTGAAAATTTTGGAGACAATGTAGATTTTTATTTTGCTGCTTCTAACCATTTCAAATAACCAGCATGAAGTGAGATGCTGGGCTGTGCACCAAACAAAAGATTCAGTAAAGCCTACAGTTTGGCACATTGGAAAATTGCCCAATATGATCTCAAACGCTTTGGAGGCTGCCCAGTTTGGCTTGGGTCTGCATTTGAATTCCTATTCAGGAAAAAATGATGTGCCAGGCCTCTCCCATTAAGGGGATTTTTAAAAATGGCTGTAGCCTTTCCCTTTCGACAAAATTGGGTGAAAGTTTCATGCACCGTGTGTCCTCCTAAATGAATAAAGCCTTGCAGAAAAATAGGTCTAGAGGATTGCTTTGTTGTTGTTGTTCTGGACACCTTTACTTTTTGTTTTTAATGGAACTGTCCATATATCTTCTCTATATTTGTTGGCAGAATTGGGTAAAATTTGCAGGCAAGGTTATAATAATTTAATAATAATTTATTATTTCTATCCCCAGCCACTCTGGGCGGCTTTCAACAGAACCTTAAAAACAGAATAAAACTTCAAACATGAAAAACTTCCCTAAACAGGGCTGCCTTCAGATGTCTTCTAAAAGTTGGATAGTTGTTTATTTCCTTGACATCTGATGGGAGGGTGTTCCACAAGGTGGGCGCCAATACCGAGAAGGCCCTCTGCCTGGGTGCACCTTATAGTGGGATAGGAGAACTGGGGGGTGGATCCCCTTTTATTTTGTGGGCAATTTGCGTAAAAGTAATGTGTGTTATTCAGTGCTCTTATATAAGAAACCTGCCAAATTACAGGCAAGCAGGTCTGGGGTGCATGTGCTAGGTGCATTTAAAAATTGTGTTTTTTTTAAGGGGGGAGGAGCGAATCTGTTTCCCTCCCTGTGGTTTTGTAGGGCATGAGATTAGTGTGAAAATGGCATTTATCATAGAGGTGCCACCAGGAAAGTAAGATATAGCATTTCAGAAGGATGGGTGCTGGGGCTACAGAGTTACAAGGAATGGGAAGACAAACAGCTTCACGTCTGCATTCTTTTTAATCGGCACCAAAGATCTTAGAATACACTTCGCAACAGATTTGACAGGCATGGGTTGTGGACTGTGCGTCTCTCCCAGGCCACACCCCTCACTTCCCCTGCTCTGGGTTCTCCTTTAGTGCTTTTCCTGGCTGGAATGTTCCCTTAAACTGTGATCATGTGATGGAGAGGTGTGTGTGTGTGTGTGTGTGTGTGTGTGTGCATGCGAAATCCTCTGGTTTTTGTGTGGTTGCAATGTAGCCTAATGTTGCTCCACCCACTTTTGCCTATGACCACACCAACCACTGGCATGCAGCATTCAGAAGGGAATCCACAGCAGACCTACAGCATTTGCCATCCCTGTGCATGGATTTAGGTACCCACTCTTATCCTGTTTTCTCTGATCTATCATGTGGGTGAATATGCCATTAGGGCAGGCTGCTCATGAGTGGCTTGTGGATCTCAGAGGACTGAGCCTGATTGAATGTGTCCAAGACACGTCAATAAAATCTCCATGTGGAAGTGCTCCTAATCTAGGCATGGATAATTTGTGTTCATTCATAAATCTGTTCTGTCCAATTTTCCTTGACAATCTGCATATGTTTTTAAAACTCCTTTTAAAAACTGCATTGTTAAAAGTATTTTCCCCTCAGTATCTACAATTTTTTGTACATATTTCATTTGAAAAATACATATTTTCTGTATCATAACCTAAAATACACATTTCATTTGCATATTGGTACTTTTTTTTTTTTTACCCAAGAATTGTATTGCAAACTTCAGAAAAATGCAGAAACCACAGTGCCCCTCTCATGTAATGTTTAAAAATGGTGATCGGATGAGCAGCCCTCCAAGTGTGATTCAAAGCCTGTGGGTTTTTTTTGTTTTGTTTTGTTTTTGTTTTTTTAAATCATGGTCTCTGTCTCAAAAGGGCAATTTGAAGCCTCAGTTGTACAGTATGATACACTTGAAAAGAAAACTAGAAAAAAGTCAGCTGCTGAGGTGTATCGCCCCTGCACCTGTTCTACAAAACAAACAAATCTTTTCTACATCTAACTCCCTGTTCTGCAAGAAAGAGCTTGTGGCTCTCCCTGTGGCTCACAGGAAATATTAATGAACGCAAAATGGAGCATCAAATACCACTTGTGTGAAGTTAACTTTCTGTCTGCTGTGCAGCTGTGAGAAGCCACAAGAGTCCTCCCCACCCCCCCAAAAAAAGTTGGCAACCTCTAAATTCTCCTGTCAAATACTTTGAGAAATATATTATTCTTGAAAAGTGGTATACAGATGTGCTAAGAGAAATATAATAGCATATTTATTTTTTATATTTATTTCATTTTGTAGACCGCTTTGTTTTTCAGCAGAAATCTCTGACCTCTGATCCCTAACAGAAAACTTCCATCGTTCTCTCTCCCTCCCTCCCTCTACCCCCAAATTCTCATTTCAGAACCATTTCAACGATGAGTGCAAATTCAAAGAGATCCTGCTGCCCAACAACTACAACGCCTACGAATCCCAGATCTACCCCGGGATGTACATAGCCCTGAGCAAAAACGGACGAACAAAGAAAGGCAACAAAGTCTCTCCCACCATGACAGTGACACATTTTCTTCCTAGGATCTGAGCGCTTGTCCCTTCAGACTTAACCTCAGGGAAGTGGGGAGGAGGCGAGAGACCCGAGAGGCGGAGGAGGGGAAACCTATGGTGCACTTTTCTTTTCAGAGTTTTATGCAAGAGTAGATGTAAGATATTTAAATTATTTAATTCTGTATATATTGCCAGAAAGTTATTTATAGTTCTGATTTTTAAAAAAGAAATTCCTTTAAAAAAAAAGACAAAAAAAGCATAAAACAAAATCCTCCGACTTAAGCTATTCATTGCACAATGCAACGACAAAGGACTCTTTTGCATTGTGGCTTATTTTACTTTGTTTTGGGTAAGTTATCACAGGTGTGCTGCTATTATGTGTTGTTGTTTTTTAAAACGTGAAATCCGATTCCTATATTTACAATGTTTTGCACTGTTCTCTGTGTTGTACAGTGTTGGCTAGTGAACATGATTTTTTGTTTTGTTTTGTTTTTTTAAAGAAACCAATGATAACTGCCAGGTAAGGTCTTTAGTCTTTGAAGAATGAGTGGGCAAAACCTCCCTCTTGTTCTGATACCAGCTTGTTGCAAGCAATGCACAATGTCTGACCTCCTTTTGTGCAGCATTGCTGTTTCATTGAAATGGTATCAGTTTACTTCTGGGGCAGAAAGTGCAGTGTTGAAGTACCACCCTGAAAAGCTGTTTTTAGATCTGCTGCTGCTGAACTCTGAACTTCCCTGCAGTCAATCTCTTCGGAGCCCCTGAGACGCAATTCACCAAGTAATATGGGCGAATGACTCTTTTGAACTAACATGGAGGCTGCTCAGCAGCAGTGCTTGGTGAACTGTGCCCTTAGCAGACAACTCTTAAACATGTACTGTAGAATCAATTTCCAGGAATATTATTCTATTTTAACTTTAAAAACAAAAACAAAAAACTGGACAAAAGCAAACCTTTTGACCCATCAGTAACTGTGTGGTCACTTTCTTTCCCCCATCAAGGTTCACACTGTGTGAAACCAGCAGGCCACAATTAATTAGTAACATTTAATTTAAATGTGATAACTCTATTCCTCTTCTCTGCCAAATGTGTAATTCTGGCAATGTCTGAAGAGCATGTCATCAAACATGATCTCTCTCTCTCTCTCTCTCTCTCTCTCTCATATGGCCAGATGACTGAAGTTTCTCTACATCCTTATTGATGTATTGATGTATTGTTCCTCTACTTCCTCATTGATGTATTGTTTTTAATGCAATATTTAGAAGGAGAAAATGTGCTGCTGCCTTTAAGGCTGCAATCCATAACCCACTACAGTATGTCTAAGTTACCTTAGAGCACATTGTTGTAACAGAAACTGGCTTTGATGCTCTGGTTGGTAGCTGTGCTTGCTGCAAAGTGATCATCTGAGTGATCGCCAGAGATGCACGAGGGCAGTCCCTCGCTGGGACAGGGCCTGTTAGTGGTACGCTTTGGAGATGAGTCATTCCAGTGATCGCCGGCACTGCTAGCAGCTGGAGATACAGCTCTCCTACTTTCTGGCATAGCAATAGCTGATTATCCTGGACCTCCGTAATTTTGTGAGAAAGCCTTGCCTGTCGATGGCAGCTTTCAGAAGCCAGGATCACAGGGCTGCTTCTGGGGAGGCCGAAATCTGCTGAGAGTACAGTCAGGATATGGCAGCTGAAGGGCTCTGGGATATGGTGGAAGCCTTGTTGCACTAGCAGGACCTAGATTATATCTTTGCTCCTGGACTAGGTAAAGGTAAAGGGACCCCTGACCACTAGGTCCAGTCGTGACCGACTCTGGGGTTATGGCGCTCATCTCGCTTTATTGGCCGAAGGAGCTGGCGTTTGTCCGTAGACAGCTTCCAGGTCATGTGGCCAGCATGACTAAGCTGCTTCTGGCGAATCAGAGCAGGGCACAGAAACGCTGTTTACCTTCCTGCCGGAGCAGTACCTATTTATCTACTTGCACTTTGATGTGCTTTCGAACTGCTAGGTTGGCAGGAGCAGGGACCCAGCAACAGGCACTCACCCCGTCGCGGGGATTCAAACCACCAACCTTCTGATCAGCAAGTCCTAGGCTCTGTGGTTTAACCCACAGCACCACCCGCGTCTGCTCCTGGACTAATCTGGTGCAAATGCATGAATACGCTGGCACATCTCAACGCTGGCATATCTGTTTTGCATTGAAGGGAAATGGGTGGGGCAGAACAGATGCAGATGTAGAGCCAAACTGCCTCCAATGACAGTGCAGCTTTGCACCAGCTGTAGAGTGGGCATAAGGAAAATTCCATACTGATGATGAAATGGAGAGAGAGAGAAAACTACCCCCCCTCTCTCTTGCCCCCGGCATGATGGAGTAAAGGATATGGTGCATTGCTCCCACAGCATCAATGGACTATAGGATTGCTCTGCCTGTTTGTTACATAGGCTTATCCCTATGCAGTTGACCTACTGTGATGTAAATGGCTTATGGGTTGCAGCCTTAGGATTTCATTCCCTGACATAACTGATTCATGTCTACCTCACTCATTCTTGAAGCCAGTTTTCTAACACAGTCTGCATGGAAGGTGCATACATTTCTCTCTCTCATACCCCCCCTCCCTGTTCATTCAGTGTTGTAATTCCCCTGTGGGAGGGGGCATCCGAAATCCCCCACTCCCTATGTAGCCAGAAGTATTCCAGATAGTGCTGGTTGCATCCAATTTGAGCCTTGTCACGTTTGTGCTATCTTTACCCAGTGATTTACTTTTAGTAAGGATAATCATGGTGAAAATATTTGCAGACAGCTGTCAGGCTGCAGCACTATATGGCCATCCAGTAACCCTATATTTTTCTTTATATATTTTGTGAATGTAAACCATGTCTTTAAAGCAAAGAATGAGCAGGCAGGTTTAAGAATGATGGCAGGGGGGTGGAGAGGCGGGGGAAAGGGAAGTCTGAAACTTCTACTAAGTTTTGAGCTGATTGGATGTCTTTTTTAAATAGAAGTGAAACTTTGAAAGCAATATACAAAGTTCTTGGAAACAACAGTTAGGAAGCCTTAGCAATAGCTCACACGGCACTGACTTGAGAACCAGCAAATCAAGGGTTATGATGAGGCATAATTCTAGTTGCTGCAGAAGAGCAATATCACAAATGCAATATTATGCTGCTGTTACTGCAGGCAGCCTTGCTGCCACAGAGATTTATGATGGGAGTGGGCAAACTTTGCCTAGATAGGGCTGCTTTAGACCACAATCCATAAACTATTCCCACTGACTTCAGTGGGGTTTCTTTTGAGTATATATGCAAACTGAGATCGTTATGTCTTTAATCTATAGCTTAACAAACCTTGAGTCGCCTGGTATTCAGTCTGCCTTGTTCTGCTTTCCTCTTTATGGCAGGGATATAGGAAGCCAACTTATATCAAATCGAACCATTTGTCCATCCAGCCTAGTATTGTCTCCCTGTGGCTGTCAGTAGCTTTCTAGTGCTTCAGATTGAGGTCTATCCCATCATCTCCTATTCAATCCTTGTAAGTGGGAAAAGTCAGGGATTGAACCTGGAACCTTCTGTATGCAAAGCAAGCGATGATCCTGGCCCACCAAGTCTCAAGGGTGGATCAAAATGGCTGAGCTTGAGCCATTGTCTCCTTTTCAGGTGGCAAATCAGGTGTGGCCCTATTGGGGGGATTTTTCAGTTTGAGACATTTGTGTTTGAGGCGGGGGAGGTTGCTATCTTCCCGTTTCTTTTGTAACTTTCAAAATCTGCTGGGAGGGAGGGATGGTGGCAGCCAGAGCCCAGATTTTGTCTTTAAGGTAACCAAGTTTTGTTACCCAAACTTGGTGAAATTCATGGGGAAGGGCTGTAGTTTCAACATTTGCTTGCATGCATAAGGTTCCAGGTTCAGTCCCTGACATTTCCACGCAGGGCTGGAAACAGCTCCTGTCTGAAACTCTGGAGAGCTGTTGCCATTCAGAGTAGGCATCCTGGGCTAGATAGACCTTCTTAGCAGGAGAAGATAAGGCAGCTTTCTAGCCAGTTTGTTTAAATGCTGGCCAGTATCAAACCATGTCTGATAAACTTGACTTGCTGACTACTTGTAGTAAGCTAACCAAGTTCAGACACTGCAGGGCATTCTGCTTAGTTTAAAAGTGGAAGTGAAAGCTCCTCCTGTTCTGCTGATAGCCACAGAAAGCAGAGCTGAGAGCCTTCAAGCCTGGGGCTCATATAAGCTCATGCCCATGCACGTAACAGTAAACTGTAACTGGTGCCATGGACGTAGCCAAGAGGGGCAGCTGTGCTCCCAATCAATAAAAATCAAAAAAATGACATAGCAAACTGATCCTATCTACAATCATGGTGCTACATTAAAAAAACAACACCACCTTATGTCCTGGAGTCGTGTGTATCATCAAAATACCAAGGCTGCAGAAATTAATCTTTCATTTCATTTTCTTTTCTTTTTTTACATTCCTGTATATTACTAGAGTTACACATACATGAACCATATTGTGCTTATGAATGACTTGCATAGATACTGTAATTAATGGATGACCTTGAAGAATAAAGCTACTCATAGGTATTGTTGGAAGCTAATTCAGAATTTGGGGAGTATGGAAGATGAACTTAACTGGTTTGAAACACACACACCCCAATTATAAGGTGAGGCCAGACCCCTCCAAAGTTGGGTCTGGCACAACATGGGGTTGCCCCATCCCCATTGCTAGCCAGTTCTCTCTCAAAACCAATTACCCTCTCCGGTTCCTCACAAAACAACCTTACCCTTGAGAAAAGGAGGGGGTAACCACAGTGGCAACGGGCAATTTTATGTTTTGGACTTAATGCTCTTGCATTAAGTGTGTGTTACTTTGCTCCAGAAATGTGGTAAGTCAGCCCTACTGTGTTTGGAAGCAAAAGATTGGTTTCCCATTTCCTATTTTCCCCCGGGGATAACTTGGAAATAACCAAAGGGGCTTCCCCAAGCATTATTTGAGAAAGCTGGGACAAAACCAGCTGATTCTGAACAGAGCCAATGGGAGTATTCCATCAGTGCGATCAGAATATAGCTGGACCAGGGTTTCTTTAAACATAGGATGGGCAACCTGTGGCTCTCTTTATGTTGTTGGACCACACTTTCCATCATCTCTGGCCATTTTCCATGCCAGCTGGGGGTGAAAGGAGTCTGACAAAACCTGGAAGACCACAGATTCTCCCATCCTCCAAACCATCTTGCTTCTGTTTATTTTATCCTAAGTGAAATAAGCTCTTGGCATCTTGGGATGCTAAAGTGTTTCTGTGCAGTCTGAGGTATTTCTGTATCCTTCCTCTCTCTCTCTCTCTCTCTCTCTCTCTCTCCTCCTCTTTTCCTCTCACATGTGGGTATTTGCATTTGTAACCATCACGACTACTATCTGGAAGCTCAAGTATTTCTGTTTCCAAAGTCAAAGCAACTGGAAGCATTGGCTTTGCCTAAACCCATTGGGTGTAGACAGTTCCCCTTCAGTCTTCCTTTTGACTTCCTTTCAGTGCTCAGCTGACAGCCTCACCCTTGGTGTACTCAGAGGTAGTTTATATTGTAGTGTTCAGATAATGTTGTAAAACTTTGATATCAATGTTACATGGTACAAGCTTTCACCATTTACCAGATCTGTCTGTAGTTTTATACAGGTGTTGTTTAATATTGTGGTGTATGTGCTGTGCACATTTAAATGCATAATAAATAGATAAATGTTTACAACGGGCATGGTGCACTGGCTGAAATTATTTCAAATGCCATTGTGTCCACAGGTAGAAAACAAAAGTACTATATCCCCCCCTTTTAATAGTATAATAAAGTATAATAAAATGACTGCTTCACTTACAGCACAAGTTGAAGCATTTTTTTATGCAGAATCAAGTCCTGCTGTGTCCATTTGGACTTACTCCCTAATCCTAAACATGCTTACTGAAGATCACGTTCTGTTGAACATAGTGCGGCTTTCTTTGGAGTAAGCATGCGTAGGCTCGGGTTACTAATCATTTATTAAGTGACTAACAGTGCAGGGCTATGCTCCCTTACACAGAAATAAGTTCCACTCTGTTCAATGGAAGTTTACTTCCTGATAAGTGTGTCCCTTTACCAGGAACGGCTGCAATTACACTCCCCAATAGTGCAATCTTATGCATGCCTATTCAGCACTATGTCCTCTTGGCCTGGTTTGCACATCAGACTAAACCATTGTTAAAAAACAATCTGTGGTTTAATGTGAACGTCCTGCATGCTGGTGCATGCTAATGATAAGTTATTGTTCCATTCCACTCCCAGTCCTGCTGCGGCACCAGGAAACCAGTCGGAGTTCAGCTTGTCCTGACATATGTCCAAACCCAAGTTTTGACCCACAAGTGGTAACCAAGGATTGTTCTTTGCTTGTTGATCATGGTTTAAAGGAGACAACAATAAATGAAAAAACAAACAACACACACACATATATATGCAAATAAAATAATACTAATAATAATGATAATGATAATAATAATAATAATAATAGTTCACAGCAAAGACCTTCACACAAACGTTTCTTCTTGAACTGTCTGGTCTCCACATTGATTCAGGATTTCTATCTAGACCTCATTTCTGAGAGGAGAGGAAGACAAAGCAGGGAGAAATGGTCTCTCTTCCGAGCTACTTTGAGTGACAGTAAGCAGATGCAGGCTGCCGGCATGGGATGCGGTGTGGCCCTAGCAGGTTGGATGTACAAAACAGATGCACTGACCTGTTGTAAATATCTGGTGCTGACAAGCATTTCGCCTTTAACCGAATTGTATGAGCGACCGAGCTGGGTTGAGGATTTTAT